TAGAGATTGCGTTTCTGATTTTATTGCAACGTGCTTAGATAAGGATAAAGCAAATGGTGTTTTGTTCAAATTTTAATAAGTCAAATCAGGAAGTGAATTTAACTGTTATTTATTATTTAACGTAGGTATTTAGAAACAGATTTTTGTTTATTCTGTTCATTTCGATGCATTTTGAAGTTTGTTTATTATTTAAGTTGAGACTATTGATCTCGAAAAGCAAAGAAAATTTTTCAAAAAATTGATTAAACGTTTTGATTATAAATAATAATTATAAGTATACCGAAAATTTTTTTTCTTTGTCAATAACGATTATTGATCTTTTAACTAGATTGCAAAGTTTATAAAATACTGAAGAATGCGAGAATGTATATATAAAATATACATAACATAAGACAATATGTAGAAATATGTAAAACATTGAGGGTAGAGTATTTATTATAATACTTAATAGAGAAAACAAGTTTCTATTTAAACTACTTTTCTTTAATAAAAATGTGAAATTGCATAAAGATTCATTCATAACAAATTCTACTTCAGTCAGTTTATAATGGTGTAAAGTGTACAGTATTATTTTGTGTGTGAAAATAATCTTTTGCATTAAAATATTTTAAAAACAATAGAGTTACATTCTGATGTGAATCTTGTGAAAATTAATGAAAAAAAGAGAACTGAAATAAATTTCCCTCGCGGACAACTTATCGCGAGTAATCAAAATAAATTTCCCTCATTGTGAGACTGCGGATTTTTATGCATTTATGGGAAATTTGAAAATACAGAAACGCAGTATACAATAGTATAGCAGAAATATATAAAATATCCGGGGAGCTGTATTAATTATAATAATAAATAGAAAAAACAATTTTATATCTACGTTCCATTTCTTCATTAATGATAGTGATAATTTAAAAAAGCTCTTCAATGATGCTTATTGGCAACGAAACAATTTTTTGTCGCACTTATAATCGTTATTTGTAATTAAAAACATAAGTCAAAAAAAAACAATTGTTATCCAAACAAAACAAGTTATGGTGTATAAGTTTAATTTTATCAAATGTATTATATATTCAAAATTTGTTTAATTTTTTTTCTATCTTTCTCTATTAGATTTCATTCTTAATTTTCCACGTGCCATAAAAACTGGTACACTCTGTAGTTTAAAATAAATAATTTCTTACGTAATAATAGAATTATTCGCTGATTCAATGAGAATCTGCTGTGATCAGTTCGAACAATCAACTAGTCTAGTGTACTTGTACAATAGAATACTGATACGAAATGACATGCTTATGATTTCAGGGGCCACATTTGTCGCTACAATTATGCGTCTCCAAATTTCTAGTTTGATATTTTTCGTGAGTGTACTAGTCGTGAGACAAGTTTCAGCCCATGGAAGGCTGATAGAACCACCATCGAGGGCTTCGATGTGGAGGTACGGTTTCGATACTCCGCACGACTACAACGATCACGAATGCTATTGCGGAGGATTTACCAGGCAATGGCAACGAAATAAGGGAAAGTGCGGAATATGTGGCGATGCTTGGGACACACCAGCGGTAAGACACGAACTTTTTACAAAATTAGCTTGATAAGAATATTCCCGCATTTCTCTACAACGCGAAATCGTATCGAACGCGACGAAAAAATTATGGCTGGTATTATTCATACAAGACGATAACACATAAGATAAATTTCAACAATTTTTTCGTTTAGCAACACTTTTCCATCTTAGGCATTGATATTGAAATCTTTAAATTTCAATTCGATAATAGTATTTTTTAGCGATCGTGTTACAAAGTTTTCTAAAGTTGGCCTCACGTTTGTTTCAGATGAAATAAATTAAGAACTATTAGGTGATTCTTAATTAAAGATCAATTTAAAAATCTAACTCAACAGTTTTAATATTTAGGTATAATGAGAAAAAAATCAGTGCAGGATCTACAAAAATACAAAATTTGTCTGTCAGTCAAAAGTCAGACAGCTTGTACTATATGGAGATGAAAGAACTTTGGAGTTTCGAAACCTTGCAAAGTTTCTTTATTCGAGTTTCGAGAATTTAAAAAGATTGGTTTCGAATCCATCCCTCATATTTAGTAGATTTTTTTCACTGGAAAGAAAGATGAGATGTTCGAAGTTTAAAAAGAACTTTCATGTCTTTTCTCGCATGCAACATCTCCAATATCAACTTATTGTAAAGCATAAAATATGAACTGCAAATATTACCTGAGAGAGATTAGTTTAGCAACGAAGAAACAAGCAACTCAAGTAAACTTTCTGGATAGATAAAAAAGAACTCACTTCTAGTTTAAAATTCAGATGTATCAGAAGTTGTTCCTAATAAATATAATTAATATAATATAAAAATGTTACAAGTTTGAATTATATTTGCACTTCACCTGAAAAAATTCAACGAAGATACAATATATAATGAAGCTATAAATTTTCATGTAATTATAATATTTAGTTAATTTTATATATTATATTGTGTACTATTATGTAATATAATTCATTCTGAAGATTATAGTTAGCATTAATTTCAGATTAGTTAATAAGATAATTCTCAAAAATCAACGAATTTTGAACGATAGTCCCATTGGTCTACTTAACATTGTAGATTACGCTAACGTATATTTAAATGAAATTGGACATTTCATACGTTACAATTTTAACATTACATTTTATTACAATTGAGCTGTGTCATATTACATTATGAAGTTATTACATTTAAAGTAAGAAAATTTGAAAGAAACTTAATTAACTCTTTGAATTGTAATTATGCATAGGATTTTATGCGAATTTATATTTCTGAGAATATAATTACAAAAAAAAAAAAAAAAAAAAAAAA